AACAATAACTTTTTTTGTTATTTGTTATTGATAACAATAACTTTTTTTGTTATTGTTATTGTTATTAATAACAAAAAATAACAATAACTTCTCACTCTTATAACTGAATAAACAAACAGCATTTCTTATGGATAATGATCTTATCATAGATTATCATCTACTACCATTAAATATCGACGATGATGACATTGATCAAGAATCTGATTCAGATATCAGTTCAATTAATTCTTATATCGAAGTTGATGATGCAGAGCAAGTGAATGATGATTTTATTCGACTGAATCTTAGTAACGACTACTATGGTAGTGAGGATGAACTTGAAAATTCAACATGTTCTGGTAATAACGAAAAATTCATTTGTCTTAATCAATCATCAGCTTTTTCAACGTCGAAAACAGTAGCTGTCAGAGGTCCAAACAGGCCCACTTTTTGAAGGCCTGGCCTGTCTGTGACAGACTTACACCTCTCATAGCTTGCCTGTGCCTGTTCTCTGATTCCCTCGGCCTGGCCTGCCTGTCTAGGCCTGTGTATTTTTTTCACGTCAATATCATGATAAAAATACCATATAAAGAAGTAGTAATCTTCCCAGGTGAGCAAAGGACGGGTAAAAAGACTAGTCTCATATCTAGTCCTGACGGGACGTCCGGTATAGTCTTTTTCTCAAAACGGACTACTACATGACTAGTCTGGAAAAGTTGCCGTCCATAGTGCCCGTCCAGACTATGTAACTGATGGGCGCCATTGGCTCTGACAAGTCTAGTCTGTTTCGCTAAAAAGACCCGTCTAGGACTAGTAAAGAGTTACTAATAGGTGGACTAGGCCTGTAGGGGGACTTTTTGAGAAAAAGACTAGTCAGGACGGGTAACAGCGACGCCCGTCCGAAATGGATATAAAATTGAAAAAGTAAGGATGTCAGGGACAGGTACATAGGACAAGTTGTAGTCTTGTGTAGTGGACGAGTCCGGACTAGTCTAAATGAAAATCTGTAAAGATGAAGGTTAGATTCGAACATGCATACAATGTATCACTTACCCATCGTTTAGACCATTGAGCCATATGATCAACAAATCAACTTTTACATGTTCATAATCATTCTAAGATGCTATTTAATATAGTTTTACTCAAAGATTTTTATGTTCGCATTTAAATAAAAAATTATCTTTTACAGAATACGAGATTATTTAGACAACATTAAACAAAATAAATTCAAAAAAATTTATATTTTTTGGTAGAATATATTTTGATTATTATTAAGTAGGAGTAATTATTTATATTAAAAGAAATAAATTTTAAATGCAAAAATAAAAAACTATTTATATTGAAAAGAAACTAGATGTTTCAGATGATGGTTTAGTTGTTTATTTTAAATTTAAACCATCGTATCTTCAACTAACAGTTATAAATAAGCTTTGCTTAATTTAAATTTATTCTTAAATTTAAAATTATTAGAGTTTATATTTAAAATGAAATAAAATAAAATTATGATGTAAAAAGATTTTAATTACTTTTTGAATTTTTTATGTAAACATTAGTGCGTCTAATAATTTTATAATATATAAATTAACGTTTCTTACTTCGAGATAAATATTGTTCTTTGTACTTAATTCTATTTTTTAATGTTTCTATATACTCTTACATTCCTAACATATGGAAATACAAAATATAATAAGATATATCAAGACAAAAATGTACAAAGTATACTATCTATCTTTGATCTTATGATTGATTATGGCAGACTCACTGTTTGTTTTGTCGTTCTAGATAGAAAAAAAATTAATAACGTCGGTAACAATCGACATAATTTTAATATAAAATAATAACACATGTTGTTAATTTCCGTAATCATAATATAACAGATCAATCTTAATCCTCAATTTACGAAGATTTGAGTACAAGACAGGCAATAAAATGATTGTTATTCTCCAATCTAATCCATGTTCTAAATGCATTTGATTATCCAATGATTATTTTTAACAAATGATACCCATATTGAAAATTTTTTCTACTTGCATTCTACTTGCATTCTACTTGCATTCTACTTCTTTTACTTCTCATTATTAATCAGTTTAAACGAATTAAGAGGATATATTTAGTCCAAAAAAAGTGGCTTGTTTAGAGTCTTTCAGGCTAGTCTGGACTACGATGGGTGACACACTCTTTAAAAAAGGACTAGTCGTGACGAGTGAAGACGACGCTTCGGTCTAGTCCTGACTACTATTGAAGACGTTTCAGACCAGTCAAAGTCGTGTGACATCGACTGGTTTCTGATTCTTTACTGGATGGACAGGAATCAATTTTGTATTTTAGACTGTATAAACGGACGTCAGTTCATTTCAGTGTCCTAGTCTCCCGTCAGGTTTCGAATACTGTCGGCTTGAGTGTTCGAATCCACCTTGCATCTTCTTTTTTTAGTTCTTCTACTAGTCTGGACGGGGTCAACGGACAAAACGGACTAGACATGACTGGATTCAAGGACACTCTGGACTAGTCCAGACGAGTTTGAAGGACATTTCTCCAAAAGGTGACTAGTCATGACGGGTGTGCAAGACGTTTCAGACTAGACTTAACGGGTGCTGTGGACACTTTGGACTAGTCATGTCGGGCAACTTCTTTTATTTTTTGCTCACTTGGGTTTATAAAAAGTCGTATTAGTCACTGAATTCAATCTACATCACTACATTGAAAAGTCTCTAATTGAAAAATTCATGAGAATTGTCAACTTTCCAATTAAACAAAGATATCATGCTTCTTTGTAATTGAGAGCATGTGAAACTAAGGGTAGAACAAAGACTGTTCATTTCCAAAGGTATATCTAGTTAGTCGGAATATAAAAAAAGCATAGTTTTCAGTTCACTTAAACAAATTTTTCTCTAATGAACGATCGATTTCTAGTCAAAATCGCTCGGTGAAAATTGGCATCGTTCTGAATAAGCGAGTAACTTCATTAAAGAGACAGCTATAATGCCTACCTGTAAAAACTGCAGACACACTTTCTGGTAAAAAACAATTCATGTAAAAGTCAGAAAAGATCCATTTTAAATGACTAAAATCATTAGTCTTTTATCGATTGTCAATTGGTAGCGAATCGATTACAATAAAAACAAATCAAAATCAATTCATTGTCGATTCTTAATTTATTAAAAATGTATGTTACTGAACCTAGAATCAACTTTTTTGCATCACTTCTTTTATAAAGACTAGATCTGCATTCATCACAGCATCATAAAATTTAAGAGTGTGGGTGGGGTGGATGTAGATAATCATTCCACCATTCGTACCCACACCCACACCCACACACTCCACACCTAGCCACTTCCCACCATAATCATTTTCTCGATGCAGTTATAAGTGAAAACAAGATGAAACAGTAAAAACATCACTCTTGAAATTTTTCTGAAGTTTAGTGACAGAGGTGCAGAATCTACCCGTATGTGCGTACGGCCGTGTGGGGAAAATTTTCGATTCATAGGAGAATTTTGGATGAAATAGCTGGGGGAAGACACCATCACGCGGGGAAATTTTTTAAAATCACGGCAGATTCTGCACCTCTGTTTAGTGATGTCTTTCAAAATTTCATGAAATCTATTTTTTACTCCTTGTATGAAGATTTAGATCAAATGATTGATCACTGAATGCGACAGAGTTTGGTGTGGATGTGGGTGTGTGGGTGTTGGAGTGTGGGCGTGGGTGTGGGTGTGGGTGGGTGTAGCTGTGGGGTGTGGGGTGTGGGTGTGGGTGTGGATGTTACGTATCACTGTCCCTATAGCCACACCCACACCCACACACCCACACACCCACACACCCACACACCCACACCCAACCCTCCCACCCACCCATCCACACCCACCCACACCCACACCTACGCCCACACGCCCACACTCCCACACCCCACCAAGACCCACATCCACACCCACACCCACCCTTGACGAAAAATATTTTTTAAGGAAACACATGTCATTTTACTCAGATTTTGATGCTGATTTCGAATATTGCATGTATTGTGTTTGAAAAATGGTTGTTGATGATGAAAATCCCCAAATACAAGCAGAATTTCTATTCACTGTGATGATATTTGAGAATGTTCAAGTGTAGAATGGAACTTTGGATAAAAATATTTTAAGTCGCAATGGTATCAAAAGAAAGTTGGGTGTATAACCAAGTTTTTGTAAAAGTTTCATCGAGATATAATTTTTTATTATTGAGATAATATGATCTCAAGTTTTCATATCTACATACACTATAGGCTCTTAGTGACTGTATATCAGTTTTTATTCGATTCCTAAAAAGTTTTAAAAAATGATGATTACAAGGAATTAGAAGATCTATAAGACTGCTTCTAAATATGAAATCATAATTTCAAAACTTTATTCCATAGCAGAGAAAAGTGGGGTTCACGGGTCCCAATTGACCCTTGCCATGTGATCATAGAGATACTTATTTATATCTGTAACTAAAAGTCTGTGGGAAAAAAACAATATTTCTAAATGTGTAATTGGATCCAATCTACAAAATTATGACATGAAAATGGCATCTTAGGCGGGTGGCAGATTTGGTACCTTAACGCACGAGGTCCTTATCTATTCAAAATCTGATTACCAAATTAT